AATATGTATCAGAAAATGTAATACAAATTTTTGGTAATTTTTGAGCCAGTTTTGGGAAAAAAACCATGCACTATAGTACAGGGTATTTTTCATGACTTTGGCAGTTTTCAAAATTGATTATAGCTTTAAAAATTGAAGTCAGAATTGCCTTAAACTTTCTAAACAGCATAAATACATCAATATGTATCAGAAAATGTATCAAAAAATTTTTGGTGATTTTTGAGATATTTTTAGAAAAACTATGGGCTATATATAGTCATTACTTTTTCCTAAAAATTTGCAACATGCCACTTCCCAAATACAACTCTATACATTTAATTCAAATAGATGTATACATGTAGAGATCTATGTTGCAAAGTTTAACATATATCAATACACAGTAAAAAGTTGTGTACTATGAAAAATATAATTATTCAACAATAACCTTTATCAGTCGGTTGTCCTGACAGCAGTGTTGATAGCGGTGATTGTATGATTGGTCTAGAGCCCCAGATATGAAACGTGTTACACTCAGTGGCAACTACAGTAGCGAGCTCACTACAAGTAACCATCTAACAATAGAAACAATAATAATGTGAAATTCAGTAATGTAAAGCATAGCAATATATGTGTACATGTACATGTACTTGTACATGAAAAAGAAAAAGAGGGAGGGGATTATAATGTACACAGACAATACTCAAGATCAATGTAGCATTTAATTTTAACATAACACATTTTTTATTTAATGGCATTCAAGTACTTAGTATACAATAATATAAAATAATATCTTACTATTGGTTTATTCTTCAATCCTTTAACAACCACTGCCATTTCTCTAGGGAGTGCATTCCCTGATCCTAACTGACCGTGATTATTACGTCCAAAAGTATACACAAGGCCAGTCTCAGTGAGGAATGCTGAATGAGTTGATCCCAATGAGCAGTCAATGATTCTGTGCTTCCCTAAGTCTTTAATAGGCAGCGGATTGATGGAATAGGGGACTTGCAAATGATGCTGTATGATAATAATAATGGTAAATAATAAATAGTAATAATGGTATTAATAGTAGTAATGATTGATAATACATACTTTGTTTAATAATTTCTTCATTTGCATGATGAAAGTTTCTCTTTTATTTATTCCAATTTTATTATCGGCATTACTAATAACAACAAAAACAATAATAATAATAATAATAATAATAATGACAATAATAACAACTATTATGTATACATGCATAATTTACTTTCCACAGGCAAAAACTCGTCCCATTTCAGTAATGAATACAGTACTGTCCATACCACAGTACACATCAATAGCTACTTCATCCATTCTTGCTCCTGGACTCCTTAAAACAACCTCAGTTGGAACAAAACTACATATACAAAAATAAGTAAATATAATATAATAACCATCATTTGCTAAACAATTATTGTTAATATAAATACAAGATTAATAGGAAAGAAAAATACATGTGTAAGTGATAATAGATAAAAAAGAGTACAAGTAGCTCATAAAACAAGAGCTTGTGATT